ATGCAATGAGAGAGTCGGTGCGCTGTGACGCATCACCCTCCTCCACGTGACACACCTGCTCTCTCCTCCTGACTCCTGCGGCCCAGGTCAAGGAGGGACATGGGGGAAGGCAAAGTCACCTTCGTCATCTCAGCAGGGCGCTTGGAGCCCAGGTGAGAAGAGAAATAAGACTGAGGTTCTAGGGTGAGAAACTGGTGTTACAGGTTGTCTGTGAGTCAATAAAGGGACCCGGATGGCCTGAAACGGACGCCAGGCAAACAGTCCTCTGGGGGAAGCAGAGAAGGTGCACCCCTCTTCCTGCTGCCTTCCTGGTCTCTCGGGTTCAAAGGAGTCAGGTCCTGTGATAATGAATGAAGTCGCCAGCTGCTCCTACGCCCACAGTCCAGCCTGGCTAATTAAGAAAGCCTCGTTATTACCACCACATCGTATCTTCCTCAACCCAGACATCGGTGAAAATGGGAAATATTAACACAGAGTTTGCTATGAAAAGCATGCCCAGTCACCCCAGCAGCCTCGGCTGGACCACGGGAGGCCCCCCTTTCTGCTTCCCTCCAGTGGCTTTAACTCCCCCAGGAGCGTGGTGTCCGCATCTCTGTACAAGGCAGGCTTTCTTCTCAGCTCACGAGAGGGACCTGGAAAGAAGAGGAATCCATGGAGCCTGCCTGGTGGGGGCCCCCCTGCTCTCCTTCTAGGAAGCAGTAACTCCAGGGCTGTGAGGGTTAGTCCCGGGGCTGCAGGAAGCTTAACCTCTATGCAACAAGAGGTACATGTGGCAGACGAGGAAGGAGAAGGAAAGGGATGATATTTCCTCTCACTCGAGTAGCTTTCCCCGAGGTTCAGACCCACTTTTCTGAAAAAGAAAGAGTGGCCTCTCCTTTCTGCCCTGAAGCAGAGAGGACTACCTCGGTTGGCCAGAGCGCCTCTCGGCACCCAGCTCCCAACTCACTTCTTCCTGCGGATCTTGGGTTTCTTCACGGGGCGCAGGTAGGGGTTATCGATGAGGCTCTCCTCCCCGTTCCGGCTCCCCGTCAAGGAGGAGTTCTGCTGCAGGACAGAGGTGTTCTCCTTCTCGGCTCCAGAGTCATCCTTTGAGCAAAAGCCGAAATAAAGCAAAACACCAACGGCATAAGGAAAGCGATCAGCCCACAGCAGGAACCACTGTTAGCACCCCTTTCCGGGGGAGACTGGAAGCTCAGGGACCACTTCTTTCTAAAGGGCCTCCGATGAAACGAGGCCCAGGCAGCACTGGCCATCAGAGGTGAGACCAACGGCTCCGACGTGGAGCACAGAACACAGAACCCTGAGCTCTGGACAAGACAGGGCACGAGTTAGAAAGAACAGCGACCTGGGAGGGGCAGAGGTCTGGGGCTAAAATTCAGGTGCTCAAGAAGGAAGCCCCACCTGTGGGGAGGTGAAGAAAAAGGGAAGTGGGCCTCCACCCTTGGCAGGACTGAGACGGGGTGAGAACAATCCCATGCAGAGGCCTCTCCTGAACCAAAGCTGACGTAAAGCGTCAGAGACGCCCCCCCAGATTCTCAAGTTTTCTGGTACTTGCAACGTGGTACCAATGATCACATTACAGCAGAGCCTCGAGGGTTCCCACCAGGCAGAGCAGAGCGTGCTGGCACCAATGCGGGAACGTCATCCATACCCCCACTGCCACCTGGGGATCAGGTCTCTCAGGTTTGGTTTGGTTTTTTTCCTATGCCCTTGATCGGAATCGAATCTAGGACCCTTCAGTCCACAGGCCGACGCTCTATCCACTGAGCCAAACCAGTCAGAGCATCAGGTTTGGTTTTTGAAGACAGTGATTTTGCAGAAAAGTTCATAAATTTACAAATATTCCATATGACCCCAATTAAAATTCTTTAAAAAAATCACAATTGTGTGTAAACAGGAAAAAAGTAGTATGTTGAAGTTTAAAAAACTGGTTCTGAGAATATGGGTGATTGATTCTCCTTTCCTTACTTATACTCTCTTCTAAGTTCTGTAAAAGGAGTGTAGCAGAGGAAGGGGGACAAAATCACACGAAGAACTTGACCTACAAGTTCATTCCTAAGGGACTGTAAGTGACCAGAGGCGCTGGTGGGGCTGCGCCCCCTGGTGATAGGCCAGGGTTCTGTCACTGGGATTCCTGTTCTGTGGAGGCTCTGACTTCAACCAGAGCAGAGGACACTACGATCAGATGGCAGGAAATGAACGGCAGGCTCTCCCCAGAGATCGCTGGCCCAGCAGGCAGGCAACAGTCAGGCTCCAGGAACCGCAAGAGATGTGTCACTTCTGGGTTCCGCTGCACGCGCTCACACTATCCATCTACTGTGTCCTCCCAGAGACCCTGTGCTTCCCTCTCCAACACCTGACCCGGTGGGACCGCAAGGTGACTTAGAGCCACCGTGGAGCTTCCGGAGGCTCTTCCGAAAGCGAGTGCCCAAGAGCACCCTCGCTCACGCCACACACCAGGTCTGACCACCACCAGTCCTGCCTGGGACGTTTGGCTCCTACGCTTTCTAAAGTTCTTTATGGCTTAATTTAGTAACCACCCCCTATCCACCTCTTATCATTTCTCCATGGTCAACACCTTATCTTAGAGTCACTGGACGTTCACTTCAGCTGTGCCTTAAGTGTTTCCTGAAATAAGGATGGAGGTGACAAGGGTGCTGAAAAGCCAGCCTCGACCTGCTGGAGGCCCCGAGGCTGCCTCCACCGGCTCACTGTCTCACAGGCTCCTGCCCTCACCTGCCTGCCGCCCCCCAGGCTCACACAGCCACGGCCACTCAACATCTCCACTGGGGTGTCAGGTAGGCACCTCAACTTCATGTGCCTAACACTGAGCCCCGGCCTCCCCCCCGTGCCTAAACAGCCCTTCCTGCAGCCCTCCTGGCCTTCCAGTTGTTCAAGCCGAACACTCCAGTCATTCTTAATTTTTTTCTTTCTCTGACATCTCACCTCAATCTGTAAGGAAAACTTCTTGGCCTTACTTCACATTACAGGCAGAATCTGACCACTGCCAGTGGCCCGACCATCCTGCGAGGACCCACCACTGTCCCTGGCCTAGACTACTATCTCAAACGCTTCCTAACTGACCTCCCTCCACAGTCCACAGTCCACGCTCTGCCGGCCCCGGCTGCAGTCCCTTCTCCTCACCGCTGTCGGCGATCCGGGAAAAAGTTAGCTCAGACACGTCCCTCCGCTGCACCTGCCTCCCCCTCCTCCCATTTCACCCAGTTGAAACCCAGTCTTAAAGCTGCTCACAAGGTCCTGGTGTGACTCTCCTCTCCCTCTCTCCTTCCTCAGCCACAGCCACACTCGCCTCCGTACTGCTCCTCAGGGCCTCTGCACAGGCTGGTCCCTTTCCAGAACATTCTTCCACGGAGAGCCACCTGGCTCACTCCCTCACCTCCTCCAAGTCTCTGCTCAAACGTCAGTTCTCGGGATGTCTACCCTGAGCACTCTAAGACTGAAACCTCCACCCTTCGCCCTGGACCTTCCCTCCCTGTCCCCAGTAGCACTTTAATAAACCACATAACGATGTACTTATATAGTCCAGCCGCTGTCACCCTCCCACTGCCAACTCACAGGCTCCTAAAAGGCGGGTGTGTTCTTTGTTCTGTTCACTGAAGGGTCCCAAGCTCTCAGAACAGCGTCTGGCACATGCCAGCAGGCACTAAATAAATAAATGACGGGTACAGTGCTCATGGGAGAGCAAACGTTTCGACCCTGGGATTAACTGCTAGTTCAAATGGGAGAGAAAAATAATTCTATTACACACTAATTTAAAATGAACAGTTCCTTTATGTTCAAGTAGATGGAGAAACCAGGACTGGTTAAGTAAAAACTACGCAGCAAGAGAACTTGAGAGATATGCTGCCATTGACAGATGAAAGAACGATCTAAAATACCAGTTACTTAATGAACTGTCGCAATGTGTGTGAATGCTAATGACAGAAAACCACCAATGTCTGCAGGGGCCTGGTTAAATCCACTTGTGCCTCCCTGGAACATGAGGAGGCTGAGCAGGGGTGAAGGCGCTCCTTTACACGGACATGGAATGACCGCCACGCTGCATGGATGAGGGCATACAGCGAGGGGTAAACCACCTGTGACCTGCTGTTTATGTTCGTGTCTCTAGATTCATAAGAAAGAGGCCAAAAAAAAAAAAAAAAAAAAGAGGCCAGTGACTGGTTGCTTTGTAGGCAGGAAGGTGGGTAACAGGGCACCAGGACGAGAGAAAGAACTGCCACCACACATCTTTTTGTCCATTCTGAATTTTGAAACCCATGATTATACCAGTATTTGCCAGTCCAATAGAATAATAAATCCAACCGATTGCATATAACTCTGTTGCTAGAATCCTCTTCTTAAAGTCTTTCCACTTATTTTTTACAGGACAGCATGTGGTGGTGCAGCCCAGAACAGCAGGGAGGGCCACGGGGGCGGGAGCTGCCCTGGGCCAGGCACCTGTGTGTGAGCTCATTTTATCTCGGGCTCCCGCTTCCCCCAGAGCAGTGGTTCTCAACCTGGGCTGCACGTTACAATCACCTGGGAATCTTTTTAAAATCCTGATTCCTGGAAAAAATGAGATTGGGAGAATCGAAGATGGCGGCGTAGGTAAACACCGGAGACCGCCGCCGTAAACAACCACTTCAAAAATACAGCTAAAGGTCGGAACGGACATCAACCAGAACCACAGGAAGGCTGGCTGAGGAGGGACTCTTCAGCTAGAAGCAAAAACAACAGCAGTCCGACGCACAGAGGAGGCGCAGTGTGGAAAATTTAAAGGTACGGTGGAGCTGCGGTGCGCGCGCAAAGCGGGCTGGTGGCTGAGGGCGCGGTTGTCGTTTTCACTCAGGAGTGAGTCTCAGACTCTGGGCTACAGATCCGGGCGAGTCTCTAGGGACCCTGACTCAAACGGGAGAAGCGGGACTGTCTGGCTACGGCCCCTCCGAGGTTTGCAGCGATTGCTGGGACAGAGAGGCAGAGCCCTTGGGGACGGACTGAGAGCGCCCATAGCTGCTCCCTCCCCCCGCCCTGTTGAGCCCGCCCCGCCCAGGCACTGCGCACAGACATTTGCCGATCGCCTCAGGCAAGGGCAGGACTAGCGCCTCCCCAGAATCCTACAGCCAGTAGGTCTGCTGGTCAAATCCCTCTAGTGTTAACTACAACAATTAAGGCTTGGCTAGAACAAGACTGCGCACAGAGACCACAAGGGGGTGCACCAAGAAAGCATAAAAGATGCGGAGACAAAAAAGCATGACAGAAATGGAGGATATGGAGCTAAGAATCGCAATTTTGAGGGCTTGCCATAAATTTGTGCAGAGCCTCACGAAAACTAATGAGACCCTCGATGCTACGATAAAGAAATTAGAAAGTAAGCATACACTGCCGAAACCGGTTTGGCTCAGTGGATAGAGCGTCGGCCTTCGGACTGAAGGGTCCCAGGTTCGGTTCCAGTCAAGGGCATGTACCTTGGTTTCGGGCACATCCCCAGTGGGAGATGTGCAGGAGGCGGCTGATCGATGTTTCTCTCTCATCGATGTTTCTGGCTCTCTATCCCTCTCCCTTCCTCTCTGTAAAAAATAAAATATATTAAAAAAAATAAAAAATAAAAAAAAAATAAAAAAAAAAAAAAAAGAAAGTAAGCATACACGGACTGAAATAAAGAATATTATACCCAATAGCAGACCAGACGAGCAAAAGAATCAAACCAAAGATTCGACAAAAAACACCCAATTGGAAAACCAAAATGAAAAAAGAATCCGAAAGTGTGAAGATAGTATAAGGAGCCTCTGGGACAGCTTTAAGCGGCCTAATATCAGAATTATTGGAGTTCCAGAAGATGAGAGACAGCAAGATATTGAAAACCTATTTCAAGAAATAATGGCAGAAAACTTCCCCCATCTGGAGAAAGAAATGGACTTACAGGTCCAAGAAGCGCAGAGAACCCCAAACAAAAGGAATCCAAAGAGGACCACACCAAGACACATCATCATTAAAATGCCAAGAGCAAAAGACAAAGAGAAAATCTTAAAAGCAGCAAGAGAAAGAGGCTCAATTACCTACAAGGGAATACCCATACGAATGTCAGCTGATTTCTCAACAGAAACTTTGCAGGCCAGAAGGGAATGGCAAGAAATATTCAAAGTGCTGAATACCAAGAACCTACAACCAAGATTACTTTATCCAGCAAAGCTATCATTCAGAATTGAAGGTCAGATAAAGAGCTTCACAGATAAGGAAAAGCTAAAGGAGTTCATCACCGCCAAACCAGTATTATATGAAATGCTGAAAGGTATCCTTTAAGAAGAGGAAGAAGAAGAAAAAGGTAAAGATACAAATAATGAACAACAAATATGCATCTATCAACAAATGAATCTAAGAATCAAGTGAATAAATAACCTGATGTACAGAATGAACTGGTGATTATAATAGAATCAGGGACATAGAAAGGGAATAGACTGACTATTCTTGGGGGGAAAAGGGGTGTGGGAGATGCGGGAAGTGACTGGACAAAAATCATGCACCTATGGATGAACACAGTGGGTGGGGAGTGAGGGTGGAGGGTGGGGTGGGAGCTGGAAGGAGGGGAGTTATGGGGGGAAAAAAGAGGAACAAATGTAATAATCTGAACAATAAAGATTTAAAAAAAAATAAAATAAAATAAAATCCTGATTCCTGGGCCCCATCCTCCGGAAATTCTGTTTCTTTGTTACTAATGCTGTGGCCCCACCCCATAACAAAGAAACAATTTCCAGAGGATGAGGCCCAGGAATCAGGATTTTAAAAAGATTCCCAGGTGATTCTAATGTGCAGCCAAGGTTGAGAACCACTGCCCTAGAGGGAGGTGCTCCTGCTCCTGTCTGCGCCTGTGAGGAAGCAGACTCAGATGTTGGGTGAGCAGCTCGGTCTGGATTTAAAGCCAGACCAGTGCACCGGTTTAAACTGATGGCAGGCCTGTCCCCTGGGTCTCAGTGCCCCAGGCCCGAGCAAGCTGCGCTTGAACCATTGCCCGGCCTGTGCCTGTAGGCTGCAGGCACTGAAGCAGGTTGCACAGTGAAAAAAATAAAAATAAAAAGAATAAACCCAGACCAGTCTGACTCCAAGGGTCAGGTCTGTCTACTCTACCATACGGCTTGGCGTCTCCATGTCCAGGAGAGCGCAGGCAGCTCCTGGCATGATTTCATCCTCGACTCACTCACCGCCGTGACCTCACCTATGTCATTACCTAGAGCAGTGATGGCGAACCTATGACACTCGAACTCATTTTTTTGGTTGATTTTTCTTTGTTAAATGGCATTTAAATATATAAAATAAATATCAAAAATATAAGTCTTTGTTTTACTATGGTTGCAAACATCAAAAAGTTTCTATATGTGACACGGCACCAGAGTTAAGTTAGGGTTTTTCAAAATGCTGACACGCCAAGCTCAAAAGGTTCGCCATCACTGACCTAGAGTGTTAGATAACCTTCCGCAGGCCCTTTAACTACTTTGTACTTACAAAGGGAAGTGATGTTTGCTTAGAAGACCCCTCTTTCATGAGGTGAACCTCATCGCACCGTAAACGCGGGGAAGCCCACGTTTAACAAAGCTTTTAAGATCTGACCCCTGCACCCCACCCCATGAGCTCTCTGACCGCATCCCTTCCTACTCTCCTCCCTGTTCATGCCACTCGGCCATCCTGATGGCCTTGCTGTTCTTCAACACAACAGCTCCCACCTCAGGGCCTTTGCACCTGCTGTTCCCCCTGTGAGGAATGCTCTACTCCCAGATATGTAAGCTGTGTTCCCTTCAGGTCTTTACTCATATGCCACCCTCTCAGTCATCCTAAAACCACACTCCCCTGCGCCCATACCTACTTCCCATCTCTTAATTTATTACTTCATACCTTAACTCCATGAGGGTAGGAAATTTTGTCAGTTTTGTCTCCTCCTCATTCCCTAGCACCTGGAACTGTGCCTGCCTCTGGCAGGCGCTCATTCAGTATTTATTGAATGAATGAATGAAGCCCCAGGACAGGACTTGCCTCTAAGCTAGAGATCCCATCACACTTGGATCATCATGAGCCCAACTTGCAAGTCCCTAACATGAAGGCAGAGACCTGGGGTAGGTCATGTCCAGGTCCCAGGGTGACAGGCTGCAGGCAGTGTGGGCTAGTTTGGGGGCTACTCTGAAGCAGGCAGAAGGCAGGACCCACCGTGCTGATATGAAGAGGGAGGTTCTCTGTGTCCGTCTGCTCATCCTGCTCCGAGGAATCCGTCTCTTCCATTTGTTGCATCTCCAGTTCGGATGGAAGAAGAGCCGTCAGGTAGGGGATGGTGAAAGGTCTGGCAGCAATCACTGTGGGATTGGAAGAGAGCAAATTCCACTGTCATGGAGTCCTTGCAGCTGGCTCAGGGCCTCACAGCAGAGCAGCGAGCAGCACCCACTGACAATAATGGCTGACACACTCAAGCACTCACTGTGTCCTACAGGCCTCACACGTACCATCTGAATCCACTGTAATGGCTAAGTACCATTACCAACCCCGTTTTACAGAGAAGGAACCTGAGATGCTGAGAGGTTAAGTGGCTTCCTCCAGCACACAGACAGTGGCAGAGTGGGATCTGAACTTGAGCAGTGTAACTTCAGGGTCCACTTTTCCCGAGTGCTGTAGGACTAAAATCAGACAGAACTGGGGCTGAGTCCTAGTAAAGCATCAGCTTAGTGATTTCACACCTCCTTAACCCCTCTAAGCCTCATTTCCAGAGCAGAGATTTTGAGCCCATCAGCCTGAAGGATTCAAGGCCAAATATTGGATTTGAGAACTCCCTGCAGGTCAGTGTATCCACTGAGCTAGAAGGCACTTCAGGCACTTCCAAAAGGCACTGAGGAGGAGAAGCAATTGCTGATGAAATAAATAATAGAAGGTCTCTATGTGTGGTAGAATGTGATTATCAGGTGAGCCTAGGTTTGAAAGTTACTAGCTGTGACCTTGGGCAAGTTACTTCCTTTCTCCTCTTTATAAGCCTTGGCTTCCTGTAATGGTAATAACAGCTCCTAACCCCTGGGCTCCTGAGAGGATTTAATGGGATGACTTAGGGCAGCGGTCCGAGAGGTCCGGAAGGTTGGCGACTGCTGATTTAGGGGAAACGATTGGCACCTCATCTGGCACTTAATAACTTAGCTGCTATTCTTTCAGGGCCAGGCACACAGCGAGCACTTGCTGAATGAATGAATCACCCTTGTTCATCTTTGGAAAACCTGAGGCCTATGGAAATGAAGCGACTTGGTCACATGGCGAAATGGTGGCGCTGAGATGGGAAATTAAGTGAGACAGTACCTGTGTGAGGACATGGTGAAGCGCAAAGCCTGCCAGGTGTTCTGTAACTGCCCTGCCCCCCTGATGCCTCTGTCCCTTCTACAACCGGGGCTGCCACTTCTGCTGCATGAGTGCCTCTGAGGCCCAGGGCTCAGTTACTCTTGAGGTAACCCAAACTCAACAGACCTCAAGCAGCCAATCCCAACAGAGGCCATTACTATTCTGAGTCATCTGTTAGGGACAGGCCTTAAGAACTGGGAAAAGGAGCCAGAAATCTGAAGAACGAGAGGCACCCAAGATAAAACAAAGCTTATCATTTGTTTCTTCCTACCATGCTGAGAGTAAGGGAAGATGCTATTATCTCAAATGACAAGACAGGGTCCACAGAGGGGCTAGACTCTTACATGGAAACGTGCTGACGTCATCTTTGAAAAGACTCTGGGTCTCGCCTGTCTTGGCCATAAAACGGGTGAGTGCCCGCTCCACGTCCCGTCTTTGGGATGCAGCCTTCTCCCGCAGGACCTGGTAGTCAGACACAGGCTCGCGGTACGTCTGAAAAGAACAGCAAAGACACTATAGAGTAATCCCAACGGGTCATTCTGTCCTCCCTGAGGCCCAGCTTTGCTGTTTCTATATCCTTTTACTTATTTTTATTTTTTAAATATATTTTTATTGATTTCAGAGAGGGACAGAGAGATAGAAACATCAATGATGAGAGGGAATCAATGACCGGCTGCCTCCTGCACGCCCCCTACTGGGGATCGAGTCCGCAACCCGGGCATGTGCCCTTGACCGGAATTGAACCTGGGACCCTTCAGTCCGCAGGCTAACGCTCTATTCACTGAGCCAAACCAGCTAGGGCCAAAACATTTTAAATTGTGATGGTATAGGGGACATTGTAACAATGACCAAAGAAGTAATTAACAACTCTTTGTGGTACAGAGATGGGATTTTTGAAGAAAGTGCTTAAAAACGTTTCCACTGTTGTCAATGTTAATTCAAGGGTATGGCCTGCATACAGTTTCCATATCCACACTTAAACATAGAAACAAGATTTTCTGACGTTTAAAATCATCCCAAAATGAAGAATTTGACTGGATTTTGAACATACTTGTTACAAACATTAAAAATGTAAGACCTTCCCATCATTTTTAAGAGAACTAGTTGAGCCAGGCTGGCGTGGCTCAGTGGTTGAGCATCAACCTATGAACCTGGAGGTCATGGTTCAATTCCCAGTCGCATGCCTGGGTTGCGGGCTTGGTCCCCAGTAAGGCCATGCAGGAGGCAACCGATCAATGATTCTCTCTCATCACTTATTTTTCTATCTCTCTCTCCCTCTCCCTTCCTTTCTGAAGTCAATAAAAATATATTTAAATAAAAAAGAGAGAGAGAGCACTGTTTGAGATTCAAAAAGTTAGAAATTGAATAGAAAATTTTAAACAAAATTCTTCCAATAATTAGAAGATGCAAATTCATTTGTGATTGATTAAGTGGAGGCAACAATGCTACATATCTTTGTAATGTATCTTTTTCAACTAAGAGAGCTGCTAACGTATTAAAATAAGCTGATCTCAGAATAAGACCTCTAACGTACTATTCCACCAAGTATTACACCAAGATTTCAAAACCTAAAAGGCAGAGGCCATCACATGCTGCCACTAAAAAGGAGCAAAAAGATTTCCTGAACCTTTAATAAGGTTCAGATTATCTATAATGCCCATTATTTTGGTGGAGTAGTCTATAATAATAAAAGCATAATATGCAAATCGACTGAACGACAGAACAGCAGAATGATCTCGGAGCCCTGGCCAGGTGGGCGGGGCCTCCCGCTGCAGAGCCATTGATCATGGAGCCCCATTATCGATCGCCCCACAGAGGGAGGCCCAGGCCACCGGCCAGTGATGCTGTGGCGGGTGTGCGGGGCCGGCCAGCGATCACCCCACAGAAGGAGACCCAGGCCAGCCAAGCGATCGCACCCCATGCCTGTCGCCAACAGAGGGAGGTGACTGGTGTTGGGGGAGGAGGGGGCAGCGCCGCAGATGGCAAGCAGTGGCAGCAGTGGGGGTGGGGGGGCCCAGCTGCTGGCAGCAGGGGGAAGGAAAGCCCCGATAGGCCCTGATCGCCAGCCAGGCCTAAGGACCCTACCCGCGGGGTCCCAATTGTGAGAGGGCGCAGGCCAGGCTGAGGAGGACACCCCCCTCCCATGCATGAATTTCATGCACTGGGCCTCTAGTACATGATAATATTCATGTAAGTCAGCATGAATGTTTATTGGAGTATGTACTTAATATTTTTACGGACAGAAATACACCATAAAAGAGTTAGAGACTGTGATGGGTTGAATTGTGTCCCAAGTGTATGTCCATACCACCCTGAGATTGGGCCCAATCTCTTCTGAATTGTGTCCCCTAAAAAAAAAATATGTTGAAGTCCTAACCCCCAGTATCTCAGCATATGATCTCATTTGGAAATAGGGTCATTGCAGAGGTGATGAGTTAAAAAGAGGTCATACAAGAGTAGAGTGGGACTCTGTTCCAATAGAACTAATGCCCTTGCAAGAAAATGGCCACGTGAAGACAGAGACACAGCTGTAACAGAGAACTGCAGTCCTGCGTCTACAGGCCAGGAGTGCCCACAAACCACCAGAAGCTAGGAAAGGCAAGGAAGGCTTCTCCTACAGGTTTCAGAGAGAGCATGGCCCTGGCAACATCTTGAATCCGGCCACGTGCCCTCCAGACTGTAAAGCAATACATTTCTGTTGTTCTAAGCCCCCTAGTATATGGCATTTTGTTACGGCGGCTCTGGGACACTAATACAGAGATCGCAGGTCAAGGCCAGCAGCTGTAGTGCAAGGGTAGTTGACTACCTATTCCTTCCCCCAGTATCCTGAAGTGTGGAGAAATGTCTGGAGGACGCGCCCCGCCCGCCTGCCTGCCCACATGATGCCGTATTTGCATCAGCACGTGCTGTGGAGGCGGGGACAAAGGAAGCGTGTGGGAGGACCTCTGGGACTTCTCTGCACACGCACCTGTCCCCAGGAGGGCAAAACTGCTCCTCTGGCGAAAGAGAACACATCTAAACCATGGAAGACACCTCAATCTGTGCTCATGCAGACCCAGAACTCAAGTTATGCTGAGTTTCATTTCATGTTATCACCAAGTATGGTTTAAATAATCGTTTCCCCCTGGTTTCAAAAAGAACTCTTTTCTATGAAAAGTTTGGAAAACTCAGGAAAGCACACACAAAGCAACAAGAGTTACTGTGAATACTTTCTGGAGTGCCCGTCCCGCCTCTTCTCTAGGTGGTAGGGCCTTTTGCGTTTTGGCGGGACAGGCTTCAATTTCTTGTTAACTATGTTTTTGTGAGCCAACTGGAGGACATAATCCTCCTATGCCAAATTGTTTATTAATAAGAAAAGACATTCTGAGTTCTGAGTCCACCTTTCATCAATAAGCTTTTGACCCAACAATCAGTAGAAACTGAATATTTCGCATTAGTCATAGCCCCCGTCACCTCCTCGACACTCACCGGGGTTTTGATGTAGGTGTGGGGGTCGGGGAACTCGGGAAAATGGCTGGGGATGTGCGGCGGGTGGGGTCGGTTCTGCCCCGCAGTGAGAGCTTTGGGGGTCACTGGCTGATTGGTCACTGGAGCTGCAACAGAGTCACAACTGGTTACTCTTCCACCCAAGGACTTGGGTCTCTACCCAAACCCTCCTTTTCTCAAAGTAAATGCTGGATCTCTGGACAACAGACACTCTGTACTTCTATTTTAAAAAGGCCTTGACGGACTTAAGGACCTCAGGTCACCCCCACATGCCCAGCCCTGCTGAATGACCTTGGGTGACATTCCCATCTACAACAATCTGCCTGCAAGCTTCTTAGGCAGGTGAGTGGTTTGCTGTGACAATGTTCACATCACAAAAGAGCACACTGAGGCTGCTGAGTGACCAAGGAGTTACATGAGCTGTTAACTCTCTTTTCATAGAACCCAGATAACAAAGTCATACAGTATGCCAAGGTAAGCATGGGATTAAAAATGGCACCTTCACTGCTACTTGAGAGGGAAGGTCTTCAAAAGATGTCAGCTAGAAAAAAGTGGTGGGAAAAAATCAAGTGGAGTCTCCCCAGGTCCTACCAGCCCACACTAGTTACTCCCAGCTCAGTTTATAGCAGTCAGTTTCCATCTAAGGCACAGGTCGTCTAACTGTGCCTTCGATAGAAACAAAGAGACAGAGTAAATATTTTAGGTTTTCCAAGCCATACAGTCTGTCACAACTGCTCAACTCGGCCATTATAGCACAAGGCAATCAAAGATTGTTTTACAATAAAACTTTATTTACAAAAACGGGTGGTGGGCCACATTAGGCCTACAGACCTTAGTTTACTGACTCTTGATCTAAGGAAGAACTAGAGCACTAGCATTTCTCAAGCAGCATCAACTGCCGTTCTAGGGCTAAAGCACAAGAATCATAGCAACATCTCAGAGGGTTTCCCTTTCTGGCGACAGAACGTCAGGTCCCAGTCCCATTAGCCCAAACAAAGGTGATGCTACAGGTAGCCCCAAATGATGGAAGGGAGCCTGCAATAAAGAAGCAGCTGAACAAAGGGCTTATTTAATGAATTCATTCCACAAGCATTAACTGAGAACTTACTGAGGACCTCAGTTCAAAGTCACTTACGGGCAGTAATGACCATCCTCTGGGACCGTTTTGCATAAGCAGGGAGAGTGTCCACGTTGAACCCTAAGAAACAGGAAAACAAAAGTCACTGCCCAGACCACCAGATACTGAACTTGGGAGAGGAACATTGTGCTGAAATAGCTTAAACTCCCCACTCAAGCATTTTGCTGCCACTGAGAAGCTCCAGCAGATGCCCACCAGGGAGTTAGGTGGTCTCTTAAACGGGTTCAGAGGAACCCTCAGTTGGTAACCCCCTCGAGCTAAAAACCGACCAGAAGAACCATAAGGGAATTAAAAAACACTCAGCAGATGTGGCTCGCTCCTCTCTCTCCCATAACTCCAACTCAGCTGCACTGAAGAACTGGAAACTGTGCACTCACCCATCTCAACAAGAGTGACCACAATATCTGACAGCGTGGGCTGGGTCCTGGCTGTGTGCTCACAGTAAGACTTGGCACTTCTCCCAATTTCTGAAATGTCTGGGAAAGAATCAAAGGCATAAAGTCTTATTCTCAGTTCCCTAAAAGGTAAGCAAAGGATTAACATATGAGCCAGCAACTCGACTCCTGGGTATATTCCCAAGCAAATTGTAAGCAGGAACATAAATAGATATTTATGTCCATAGTGGCATTATTCACAATGGCCTTAAGGTGGAAACAACCCAAGTGTCATCAAAAGATGAAGGATGAACAAAATGTGGTCGATCCATACAACAGATTATTAATTAGCCATAAGAAAGGAATGAAGTAGCCCTGGCTGGTGTGGCTCAGTTGGTAGAGTGTTGTTCTGTGACCAAAAGGTCACCAGTTCGATTCCCAGTCAGGGCACATGCCTGTGTTGCATAACAGAGGCGGCCGATAGATGTTTCTCTCTCTCTCTCAAATCAACAAAAACTTAAATAAATTTAAAAAGAAAGGAAGTACTAATCCATGCTACAAAGATGAACCTTGAAAACATTATGCTAAGTGAACTGAACCAGACACAAAAAGGCAAATGTTTTAAGATTCTACTTATATGACAGAAAAAAAAAATCCATAGAGCCAAAAAGTAGCTTAGAAGTTACCAGGGGCAGGGGGAAGAGATGATTAAGGAGTTATCACTTACAGGTTTAGAGTTTCTGTTTGGAATAATGAAAAAGTTCTGGAAATGAATAGTGTTGATGGTTGTACAACATTGTGAATATATTTACTGTCACTGAATTGTACACTTAAAAGTGGTTAAAATAATAAATTTTATGTTACGTATATCTTGCAACCAAAAAAAAGGGCCTTATTGTCTGTGTTGTCTGTCTAAAGCTGAACCTCTGTTTAATAGCCATGCTTTGGTCCTTCCGAGAAAGGGGAAGGTATGAAGCGGACTCCATGAATGGGCTTCAAGGGGATGGGAGGTTCCATGAAACCTGAAATTGTGCTCAATTTTACACACACACACACACACACACACCTGGGAATGGTCCACAGAATTCATCAGATGTAAGGGATCCAAAAAGGTTCAGAAGATAAAAGCAAGTCGGGAAAGGTGTCTAACTGAAAACCTATCACCAACTTGCCATGCTACCCTGGGCAAGCCACTAATACCAGCCTATACACAGAAAAACGATGGGTAGCATCTGTTTACTGGGGGGAATCTAATGGGAACTATTAGTCCATTCCTTTCGGACAAAAGTTCTCAAAGCGTGGTCTGGGAATCCCTAGGCGACCCTATAAACCTTTCCAAAGTCCACAGGTCCAAAGTGTTTTCATATTCAATTTAAAAAAATATATATATATTCCTTTATTGATTTCAGAGAGGAAGGGAGAAGAGCTAGAAAGAGAGAAACATCAATGATGAGAGAGAATCACGGATCGGCTCCCTCCTGCACGCCCCCCACTGAGGATCCAGCCCGTAACCCGGGCATGTGCCCTTGACCGGGAATCGAACCCGGGACCCTTCAGTCCGCAGGCCGGTGCTCTATCCACTGAGCCACGCCGGCCAGGGCCATATTCAATTTTTAAAAAAATATATTTTTATTGATTTCAGAGAGGAAGGGAGAGGGAGAGAGAGCTAGAAACATCAATGACGAGAGGGACTCATTGATTGGCTGCCTCCTGCACGCCCCCTACTGGGGATTGAGCCCACAACCCCGGCATGAGCCCTTGACCGGAATCAAACCCAGGACCCTTCAGTCTGCAGGGCAATGCTCTATCCACTGAGCCAAACCAGCTAGGGCTCATAATCAAATTAAGACATTTTTTTATTTTTCTACTCATTCTCTCAGGCAGTTTTCCAGAGGCTATCTGACCTGGGATGACATCATGGCTCTGATGGATAATGGATCATATGCTTGTTCACTCTCATGTTTTAAAATTTTGTTTTACTTTCTAATGTGGCAAAATATATACACATATATATTTATATTTATATCTCCATCCCATTTATACACAACTCCACAGGGTCCTCAATATTTAAGAGTCCACAGAGGTTCTAAGATAAAAAAAAGTCCAAGATCACAGCTTTAGGAAAACATTTGGTATGTAAAAGTTCCAAATATCAGAGAGCCATCTCACCTCGAATCTGCCCTTCCTGGGGCAGTCTACATCTAGTGACTGATCAAGACCAAAGTATAAAGGCAGGGCCCTTTTCCGCCTAATGTGGGATACCTGATGGGCAATTATCATCCTAGAGCTCCCCACTGCAGTGGTCAAATTTTTGTTTGGCCTGCACTGCAGTTCAATTTATTCAATTTCTCCCTCTGCCTAAACCCGTGGTCAGTCAGCAAACCACGGCTCACGAGCCACATGCGGCTCTTTGGCCCCTTGAGTGTGGCTCTTCCACGTACAGGCGTGCATGTACAGTGCGAATGAAACTTCGTGGCCCATGCGCAGAAGTCAGTATTTTGTGGAAGAGCCAGTATTTTGTGGAAGAGCCACACTCAAGGGGCCAAAGAGCCACATGTGGCTCGTGAGCCGCGGTTTGCCGAGCTGCAGTTTGCTGACCACTGTCCTAAACCATTCTTTCACTCCCATTCATAGGTGTTGGCACCCTCATTCCTCATCCCATCCTAGCCCCCAAAAAGGCCCAAATAGGGAAGTACATTGTATGTGCAGAAAAGCCAGTATGAGACCATTCTAGGGTCCTAAATCTCCAGGCATTTCCTTTTTTTAAATTTATTTTTTATTTTTTATTTTTTTAAATATATTTTATTGATTCTTTACAGAGAGGAAGGAAGAGGGATAGAGAGTTAGAAGCATCGATGAGAGAGAAATATCGATCAGCTGCTTCCTGCACACCTCCCACTGGGGATGTGCCCGCAACCAAGGTATATGCCCTTTGACCGGAATCGAACCTGGGACCCTCCAGTCCGCAGGCTGACGCTCTATCCACTGAGCCAAACTGGTCAGGGCTCCTTTTTTTTTTTTTTTAATGTATTTTTATTGATTTCAGAGAGGAAGGGAGAGGGAGTTAGAAACATCAATGATGAGAGAAAATCATTGATCTGCCGCCTCCTGCAGGCCCCCCACTGGGGATCGAGCCCATAATTCTGGCATGTGTCCTTGATCAGAATTGAACTCGGGACCTTTCAATCAGCAGGCTGACACTCTATCCACTGAGCCAAACCAGCTAGGACTTAAGGCATTTCCTTTTCAAAGTGTTTTTTTTCGCCCTAACCAGTTTGGCTCAGTGCACAGAGTGTCGGTCTGTGGACTGAAAGGTCCCAGGTTTGATTCTGGTCAAGGGCATGTACCTTGGTTGCGGGCACGTCCCCAGTAGGGAGTGTGCAGGAGGCAGCTGGTCGATGTTTCTAACTCTCTATCCCTCTCCCTTCCTCTCTGTAAAAAAAATCAATGAAATTTATTTTTTTAAAAAGTGTTTTTTTCCCATTTTATAAAACATATTCACCCTTACCCTTTGTATCTTTGTATATAATACATTTTATTATATTATGTGGTGGCATCTATTTTGTAGACATTAATCCTAACTCTCCAATAAAATTATAAGTTCTTTGAGTACAGAACATAAACAGCAATAATAGCACCTGCAAGTCATCAAGAGCTTACAATGTTCCCAGTATCGAATAATTTACATATGTGTCTCACTTATACTTACAATTCCATGAGGTGCAAATTATTATTCCATTTCACAAATGAGGAAATTAAGAGTCAGGAGGCCTAGCAACTTGCCCCAACTATTAAGTGGTAGAGTGATGACTTACACCCAGGTCTATCTGATTCTAAAGCTTGTAAGTCACTTGACTATGTTCTTTTTCTTAAATCCTCTCTAACACGATCACAGTGCAGGACACGGCACTGATGTGTGGTTGACCTGAAGAAGGCCTGTTGTTCCTATACTTACAGCTCTGTAGCATCTCTGTCAATGTTTCCACGGACGCTTTCTCAGCACTCTCAAACCCTGCCTCTGTCAGCAAGGAGCTCACCACCACTTGCAGGGTTCGCCTCCGTGCCAGATGGTAATTGTCAGCAGGGTTAGTGGACTGTTTACCTCCTGATCTCTGTGAATCAGCAGCCCAGAAAGAGAGAAGATTTTCATCCACTAAACAAGGATGCAATCGCATAGTTCACACATCGTCATGGCGAGCAAACATTCATTTGCTAAATACTTACTTACCAGTGCTTAACAAAATGTGATAGCCAAGTAAGTAATAACTGAGCAGCCAAGGGGCTCTAAATACGGAGACAGCCTTTCTGCTTCCCTAAAACGTAAACTTCTAATAACACAAATGGCTGTTTCTTACTTTCTGTTTTAGCAGATTATGAGGATATACAGCTGAAGAAACACGTATGATGAGACTGAATTTATTTCTAACTCACAGAAAAAAAATCTCTCTTGTTCCTCCCATCTGCACACCACTTCACTAACAAGGGAAATTAAAATAATAACACATGGTGCTGAAGAGAGGAGGGCAAAGGATAACAGCACCGGAAAGTAGGAACGATAATATTTTGAAACAGGAATCCCTCCCAACTTTGGCTAGCCAATAAGAAGGCGGAAACGGCCTCTTCGGACCAATTAAGAGGTGTTCCGGGTTCCCAACCCCGAAACGAGCCAATCAGCACACGGGTCGACCAACTCCGGAGGCCGCCGCCAAGTCCCAAAGAGGGAGGGCAGGTACGGCCTGAAAAACCCTCCTCCATACGGAGTTCTTGGTGGGGCTGGATGTCTGGGAACGAGCCTGTTGCCCCGGCTAGGGGAAAGCTGAAGAATGCCCCGACTCTCACAGCTTCAGCCCCGCGCCTCCCGCCCTTACCGTTCCGGAGCTGCCAGCCCCCGCAGTGGCCATCGTGTCGGCCATCTTGCTCTGGCGTAACGTGCGCGAGCGCAGGGCAGGATGGGATTTGTAGTCGTCCGGCGGGAAAGGGGCGGGGCGGTGCTCGCACCTCTGGGTTTTCCAAAGCCCAACCGAGGTGGGGGGAGGTGGGGTTCTGAGGACCCGGCTCACGTGACCTACACTGAGCGACGGGTTGCTGTGAGCCTCGAAATTGGCCCGGAAAATGCGCCCTCGCTTGCACACCTCTTTCCTCACGTAATCGTTTCTCATAAAGAGCACACCCCTAGAACGCCCCAAACGTGGCTGTTAGCAACACCTGGCTAGGTCCCGCCCAGTGCCAGTGACTCACTGTCTGCGGGAGGGACCCGAGACTCCGTGTTGTTAGCCTCTCCAGGTGATTCTTCTGCAGCGGGAAATTTGGGGAAATTTAATGTTGTGCTGCGGGTCTACAGCCCGCCAATGGCCCACTTGCAGCCGAGTCCAGGTCTTCCATTGCACCCTGCTGTCCTCAATCCGCCGGTGGTTGCCGGGCCAGCCGGGAGGCGCAGAAAGCAGGAGGCTCTGTCCCTTGCCCGCCTCACTCCCAGGGCCGGCGGTGCCTGTGGGTTTTCTGTGCACTTGCTCGACAGCCCCTCCAGATGCGGGTTCTTCTTGCGGGGCCCGCATCGCGCCTTATTCTTCTCCGTTTGCAGGTCCCTGGCAGGACGCAGACGCTGGGTTTAAATTCTAATATCGCTAGCTGTGGGACCACGGGCACATGCCCTAAACCTCACTGTGCCTCAGTTTCCTCTTTTGTAAAACGGGTGTGATTGATAGCGGGGGGAGGGGACGGAACAAGCGAATGCAAACAGGGTCTATCGCGGTGCTAGACGTAGAGTCAGAGGTCAAGGAACATCGCCTACTGTTGTTGTTTATTCCCAGGGTAGCACGTGATGGCGTGGCGAATGCCCTGAAGACAGAAGTCTGGAAACGCACCTTCCCGATCACACGCACCTGAGCCTGGGGGTCGCCGCCACCCCCTCACCCCGGGCACACTGACGAGGTCTCAGGCCCTAACCTTAGCTGCGCGGAGCACCCAGCCCCCTTGGTCTCCCCCGCCCCCTCTCCCCCACTTCCTGCCCAGCTTTCAACTCGCGATCCGCGGCTCGGCTAGGACTTTGTAAACACACCGCGCCTGCGGGGGCGGAGACTCATTTTATTTGGGCTCCGGAGCGAGTGGTTCTCGCCCCTCCCCGCGGCTGAAGGCTGCGACCCCACCCCTCAACTCCCCAAGACTGAAGCCGGAGGCTGCGGGAGAGTGCCTTCGTCCACAATAGATGCTCCGGGGGGCTCACCTGCCAAGGAGGTAGGCTTGAAGGCTGGAGAAGCCAAGATAAGGGGGGTTCAGCACCCCCCCTTTGCTGGGACCTCCAAGCTCAGGCTGGACTCCCGGAGCCGGGGGTGGGAGGTGGGTGGGTTGAGGAGGTCACCGTGCTCTCGTCACCTCCTGGTTGTCCCCCAGAGCTCGGCTCACTTTCTTAGTGGAGGGCAGAGAAGCCCCACCAACACCCCCCCCCCCCCCAGTGCGCTGTCTGTCCACACAGCCCCCTTCCACGCTGATCTGGAAGCCCAGTGGGCTGTTGTTCTTCATAATCAGAGATAGAGGTGGGAGGCGAGTAGGAGGGCAGAACCAGTGTGGGCAGAGCCTCGGGGTCCTCCTGCCAGCCAGGGCTGAGGGAGGAAGCCAGAGGACAGGACTGGGAGGTAGAACCCTCAGTGCTCATCCTCTAGCGTCTGATGGGTACACAAACCACGGCCTCGGCCTCTTCTGTGTCAAGAGGAATAACTGAAGAGAGCGGTTGGTGTTTCTAAGGGAACATTAATGTATTCGTTTCCAAACATTGGTTGAGCACCTACTATGTGTCTGGGATTGTATTGGATGCTGAGAGTACAAGGGTGTTACTCACCTACAGTTAGTGTGGGTCATGAACTACAGCGATGAGGCATCAAGCTGGGTGGCTGGGAAGGCTTCAGAGAGAAGAGGACATTCTAATGGGTTCTGAGAGAAGAAATAGAGCCTCTGGGGCACTTATTCATTCTAGAGTTGTACTGAACTCTGATTGTGGTGTTGTGCATTGGGATAATGGGGACCCAGATTTAACCCCCTATCTAGGTGTGCAAAAGAGGTGGTTATAAACAGGATGAATTCAGGGAGAGGGCTGGTCCCCCCAAACCCAGAGCTTCTTAGCTACGCACAGCTGGGAGGGTTCACCTGGGGGTGATGTGACAATCCATACAATCTTGGGGCATCCATTCCTCAGCCCTGGACTCTAGGACTGTTTCCTTTAACAAATCCTTGCTTTATGCCCCTCACCCCAATTCTCTTTGAGTGAAGAGAACCGGCTCTCCCGTGGCATTTCTGCTCCTTCAATTCCCAGGCTCCTTTGGGAGATGACTGACAATTTCCAAATCCATTCAACACTTGTCTGCTGTGGCCCTACTCTGTCTGTTAGGCTGGATGTTGAGGACTTAGTGACAAACAAGTCAGAGCGTCCACCCTCCTGGCCTTTAGAATCAAAAGCATCTCTGAGACTTCCAGCTGGATCCCAGTCTGAGCCCAGTCCTTGAGACCACGACCTCCATGGTCCCAAACACCTTCTCTCTCCTGTTTTCCTTCCCCCAAGGGCTCAGAATACTAGCTCACACTTACATAGCTCTGTCAGGTACTCTTCTAAATGTCTTAGGTGTAACGCCTTATGTAATTCTCCAAACAGTCCTATGAGGTAAGTACTTGGAGGAGACTCAGGCAAAGAGGAAAGAAGTAATATTCCTAAAGAGGACCCCAGAAGGAAATGGCAGGGCTGGGATTTAAACCTAGGTCCTTTGACTGGGAAGGCCCTGTTCCTAACCAGTAGGCAAACCTGCCTCCTTGACTGACCACAGAGTGTGTGGAGCCAGGGGCCTAGGAGTGTCCAGAAGGGACTCCATGGCCCTGTACCGTGGGTGATACCGAGGAGAGTAATCTCTTAGCTGAGCATGTGTGCTGATACCTTTACAGGGAGCCCCAGCAGGTCTAGAGTAGGGTTGGTAGGGTTGGGGTGACTGCACAGAGCTGGCATCCTGCATCCTGTTCTAATGGCCGTGTGTGTGTGTGTGTGTGTGTGTGTGTGTGTGTGTGTGTGTTCCCTCAGCCTTAGTCACCAAGAGGAACAGACCAGGGTTTGATGTAAGAAATAACTCAATATGGATGTGATGAGCCAGAATCTGGGAGGTGGGAAACCAAGACATCTCTTTTGTTGGGAATCTTTAAGAATAGCAGAGAGCCCTAGCTGGTTTGGCTCAGTGGATAGAGCGTTGGCCTGCGGACTGAAGAGTTCCGGGTTCGATTCCAGTCAAGGGCACATGCCCAGGTTGTGGGCTTGATCCCCAGTAGGGGGCATGCAGGAGGCAGCCCATCAATGATTCTCTCTCATCATGGATGTTTCTAGCTCTCTCTCCCTCTCCCTTCCTCTCTGAAATCAATAAAAAATATATTTTAGCCCTGACCGGTTTGGCTCAGTGGCTAGAGCATCAGCCTGCGGACTGAAGGGTCCCAGGTTCGGTTCCGGTCAAGGGCATGTGCCTTGGTTGCGGGCATATCCCCAGTGGGGAGTGTGCAGGAGGCAGCTGATCGATGTTTCTGGCTCTCTATCCCTGTCCCTTCCTCTCTGTAAAAAATCAATAAAAATATATTTAAAAAAATATATATATTTTTAAAAAAAGAAAGAATAGCAGAGACCCTCACATTCTAGATTCCAGAAGGAACACCCTTCTTGGTAGCTGACTAAGGAAGCTGGTCAAGGAGTGGAAGCAGTCTTTTTTTTAAAAAAATATATTTTATTTATTTTTTACAGAGAGGAAGGGAGAGGGATAGAGAGTTAGAAACATCCATGAGAGAGAAACATCCATCAGCTGCTTCCTGCACACCCCCTACTGGGGATGTGCCTGCAACCAAGGTACATGCCCTTGACCAGAATCGAACCTGGGACTCTTCAGTCCACAGGCGGACGCTCTAGCCACTGAGCCAAACTGGTCAGGGCATGGAAGCAGTCTTAGGATGCTCACCTCCTCCCCACAGCTGCTGCATCCCAAAGCTGCCTCGGTGGATCTGACCCCACACTTCTAGGCTGGCTGGGACAGTGGCCCTTATAAAAATGAGGCCACAGGACAGCGGTTCCATGGATTCCAGTCATTTTCCCATTACCTTTCTGAAACTAGGTTTCTCACAAGAGCCCTCTGCACAGATCTGGGGACGCCCAGAGGCTATGTTCTCTGCCTGTAGTCAGTCTACACCCCCATGTATCTTTGAGAGAGCAGTGTGTGTTGGGGGATGGTAACAGGTAAGGTGTGTGTTGGGGGATGGTAACAGGTAAGGAGAATGTGGACTTTCAGAACTGTGCCGGCCTCCAGGCTGCTCTTCTACCACTCATACCCCCCTTCCTCCTCCTCATAGGCGAGTGCAGGGGAACCTTCGGGTGCCCCAGCCCCCTGCGCCAGGCACACTTCTGACTGGGGAGAGAGAACAGGTTGTACTCTTTAGAAACCACAAGAGGAAGTTTAGGGAGGGCTGGGGTGGGGAAAGTTCTGGGGCCCCTGCCAAGTTTCCCTTTCAATGCCCAGCGGGTAGATGTGTTTATTTTGGTGTGTTTCTCTTGCCCTCAAAGACATTTAACTTTTAAACCGTCTGAGTTTTAAAGAGCTGTCGAGGCCTGCCCCATTTCCGCAGGAGGGTGTGGCCAGAGACAGGCTGGAAATGGTATCTGAACGAGGTAACCTTTGGGGGGGGGGGGGGCTTTCGCCTGGGATTCATGCTGCTGGAGAAGGGCTGCCTAACTCCAGAAAGTCTCCTCTTCTCCTTCTGCCCTTTCACCTTCCTCTTCCCCAAGCACTCCCTGCAGCCCTGCATTCCTCAGAGGACTGTGGTTAGGAGGCCACCTAGGAGCCGGGTGATGGCGCCAGAAGCTGTCCGAAATCTTTTGCCTGCCTAATCTCACTCACCACATCTTCAGGTTGTAAATACCCCTACTCCCAATTTACAGATGGGGAAACAGGCTCAGAAAGGCTAGGAAACTGGCCCGAGGGTCCCCCAGCTAGTAGGGGCAGAGGTCTGATGTGAGCAGTGGCCTCTGATTTCAAAGCCTGGGCTCTCGATGTCTCATTTAACCCCCACACAGAGCATCCGCTTCCCCAACATATCACTCCCTGAACAGCAGGGAAGCTGAAACCCAAAGATGTGTTTGAAAACGATGCTGATAGTGTGGGGAGAGGATGGCTTGGGTACAGAATTGGAAGAAATTCCTTGGCAGTTAGTATATTAAAGAACAACAACCGAGCGAAAAAAAGAAGACATAGTGGGTGAAAGGTTGAAGTCACACTCTGAAGGCCGAGCCCAATGGGGAGAATGCTTAGGAGGGATAGTATAGCTGTGTCCAAATATTGGAAATGTTGCCTGTGGAAGCCCCCAGGTAGGGGAACCAAAGGAGGCAGATTTCTAAAAAGCATAAGAACTTTCTAACAGATAATTGCCTAATTCCGTCCCGAAGAAGTCAGTCCCTCCTGTAGGAGAGTCTAGAGCACATGCTTTGGAGGGGCTTCTGCCGCAGAGGAGACCCTAAAAGTCCTTCCACCTCTAAACCTCCCGCATCATCCCTTCCCTGTCATCCTTCTCTCCTCCACGCTCCCTGGCCCTTGGTATCTCATCCGTCCACCAGGTGGGGCTGTTGCCCAATGTGTCGCTCCAGAGGCAGCTGGACTGGGTGAAGAGCGCCACCTGGTCCTTCAACCGCCATCTGGCTGGGTGGGGCCTCTCCGCCACCCCATCCCCAGCTATCTACATACCAAGGCACAGACTTTTGACCCATAAATACCTCTTAGGTCTCCTCTGGGCTCAGGCTAGACCGGGCAGGCCTCTGCCCTTAGGGTAGGCTCTCTTCCCCAGGTTACGGATTCCCTCCCTCCGACACTTTCTCTTTCCCCTCCTTGACCTTCTTTTGCCCTTGAACCAGAAAAATCCATATGTGGGTGCA